ATCAATCTTAGCCCATTAACTCTCTCAGCCAATACGGTGCTCCCGAAGTCAACCCTACAATGGTTGACATATGCATATGATCATGATCATTTTCCGAGGGGTGCCCAACTCGAAAAAATCGTGTACACCTGATTACCAAAAAGTGATGATTACCAAGGATTACCAGAGACTACCGAAGATTACTGAAGATTACCCATGATTACCAAGGGTTTCCCAAGATTACCACGGACAAAAGATTACCAGAGATTACGAAAGATTGCCATTGCTTACCACAGATTACCAGTGATTACCAAAGATTACCAGTGATTACCAAAGATTACTAGTGATTACCAAAGATTACCGGTGATTACGAAAGATTTTTAGGAATTTCCTTGCTGGATTACTTAGTGATTACCAAAGATTACCTTGTGATTACCAACGAGAACCTGGTGATTACCAACGATTACCTAGTGATTACCATGGATTACCGGCGATTTCCATGGATTACCGGTGATTACCAAGGATTACTGGTGATTACCAAGGATTACCGGCGATTACCAATGATTACCAATGATTACCGGCGATTACCAATGATTACCGGTGATTACCAGGGATTACCTACTCTGTGTACACCTGATTACCTCAGTTGGGCACCCCTCGTCATTTTCCCGGAGTGCTCGGCGTTAAGGCGTTAAGTAAGGATAGGTACAGTGCCGTACGTAAGCTAAAGAGTAGGTGTCTCACAACTGAGTTAGTACGTTCAGGGCCTGGAAACGCAATTTTGCCGAGTCGTGGGCGAGGCGCGATACCAGCGAAAATAGCGTGTTTGGGTGAAGCTTATGTAAAGAAAGTATACATCTCCGGTAAAAATCAAGAAGAGATTCGGAAAGCTGATGAAATTTGCCGTGTTATAGGCCTATTATAAAAATGATACTTTCACGAGTGCGCGAAAAGAATTTGACAGAAAACATGGTTTTTCGCCCTCACATAACCTCACTCTAGCAGACTGCACTTGCTCGTGGATTTGATCACGACAAACATTGCCTCTAGGTGTAATAGCCTACTACACAGCAAGTTTCATCAGCTTTCCGAATCTCTCCTTGCTTTTTACTGGAGATGCCTTTTTTTTTTCTCATAAGCTTCCACCGTTGCGGTATTGCGCCTCGCCCTGGACTTTATCATTGCGTTTCCAGGCCCTGGTTTGTAGGGGACCCCACGCCGAGGGGGTGATCAGTCATGCGAAATGTGTACAATGATTTTACGGAAAGTGACTTTTTTTTGACTTTTTTTTTGACTTTTTTGTGACTTTTTTGTGTGTTTTTTGTGACTTTTTTGGGGGGTTGTACAATGATTTTTCGAAGTGATCCCCCCCTCGCCCCACGCCCCCGCGCATCAACCACACTCGAGTACCACAAAGCCGACGCCGGTGACCGCCTCGTGGAAGTCCAGCCTCCGCGCCGGGAGGTGCCGGCGGTCAGGTGGCGGCGCTTGCTCCAGGACGCCGCTGCGCCACACGGCTGCGCGCTGCACCCGCAGCACGGCCCCCTTCCTCTCGCGGTACGCTGACACCGCCAGCGCCGTCCTGCTCGGCACCGCGCAGCTCAAGAGACTAGTCGGCCCGGCCACCCCACCCAGAAAAATGGAAACTTTGTAGCCACCATCCTATTGTACGCCAGACATAACCATACAAAATATCGTTGTACCAACACAAGTATGGTGGTAACGTCACCGATGAAAATTGTTCAGCTTGCTGTTTTCGTTCTTGGCGCCACCATGTGGGTGTTGCAACCATACCTTAACGGTTCTCCCTGATCTACCATACGATGGTTGCTCCAAGTTTTAGTTTTTCTGGGTGCCCTTGAGCATCCCAGCTTACCCCGTTGTTTTGTGATCGCAGAGGGCGCTGACGTCGCTGTCGAAGAGCACCCCGAGGCCGTCCAGGAGCGCGGCCGTGCGGCAGGCGCAGCGCCGCAGCCCCTCGTCGTCGCCCTGCTCCAGTATGTAGCTGCACGTCGCACTTGGAGGGCGGCCGTCAGAGAACAGAAGCACCCAGCGCCTGGGGTCCCTAAACATGTCCAGCGCCTCCGCCTTGAGGAGGCCTGCGTAAGGTGCAGTGCGAAACCCCTAATAGGTCTGCTTCCGGGAAAGTATTCCGCGACAAATTTTTGTACAGTAACGAATTTGAATGTTGAAATGACAAGGTAGTATTTGATGTCATTTTGCCAACAGTGCCTGGTCACTGGTCGCCGCGAGTAACACTCACGGTAGCAAGGAGGGTGCGCGCCTCCGGACACGCCGCGTCCAGGACGACGCTGTGCGCGATGTGGTCCAGGTGCCGGACCGCCAGCAGCCACTGGTCGGGCGCGGTCACAACCTGCGCGGGCAACGCGGCCTCCCCCAGCTCGCGCGCCATCGCCCGGGGGTCACCTAGTGGCGCAAGAGACGATTGCGGGGTCTGTCAAAAAGGGTGGTCCACAGACCCCTTCCTTTATTTTGCCTGTTCTGTACCGCATACGTGCGGGTGGGCTAGCCTAGTGTCGCCTGATGGCCACGTGCGGGTGGGCTAGCCTAGTGTCGCCTGATGGCCACGTGCGAGTATGCAACCCGGCCGCACGCATGCATGCTCGACAGTATAAGCAAACTAAAGGAAGGGGCCTGTGGACCACCTCGTATTAATCATGTTTCTGTCCGTGCTCAGGCTGACTTACGGACCTTCGCCACAAAGCAGCAGCAGCGCCGGCCCGGGGACCCTGGTGATGTGGGCCTCCCGCAGAAAGGCTTTGAGATGGGCCTTCGAGACGCTCGCTGTCGCGTTCTCGTCAGCCAGGACGCCGACGACCGCCGCCGCAAGGAGCGCCGCCAGAGCCCCTGTGGCCCGGGCCCGGTGCGTCTGCATGTCGAGGGCCGTCTGCGGCGTCACGAGAGCTTCCGAGGGAGGGGCGTGCCGATTCCCCACCCTAAACGCGACCCTCGCCACCACAATCACGTGTATCCTAATGGCATCGATTTAGTCAGGGCGGTTGCCTCCAAACGTCCACTTTACAGTATGAGAAACCATACAGGTGCAACGTCTCCAACAAAAGATGTTTTATAACATTTTTACAAATCGGCAAATGAGAGTGCACATTGGAAACTTATCGTGTCACGACCGTCACACGACTTCGAAAAGCAATTGGCATCATTACTCTCGTAACACGACTGTAATCACTCCAATTAAAAACCGCTACACTGAATCCAGAATATAACACCGACACTTATAAGACACGCGCCGGTCGCCCTTTCAGCGCTGTAAATAGCAAGGAGAGGAGAGGACTTTGCTTTCTGGTAGAGACAGTCTTTAAGGCCTTACATCACAGTTGAGTCCTAAGTTTCAAGCATGTTGTTTCTGGTTATTTTAATGAGTCAAAACGATTCAGGTGATGAGAACTTTTATGTAACTTCTAAAGTATTTGGAGGGCATGTCATTTTGAGCTGAACCAATGAAAAAAGTAGAAAATTATTTTATTTTTTAAAACTAGAAAAGAATTTTGGAGCATACTTACAAAAAAAAAATTATTTATACAATGTACTCCAAAATTCCCTCTTGTCTTACGCTGTAATAATACAAGATTATTGTTTGAAAGAGTGGGACCTCATGTATCATTTCTGTGTTTATATCATTGTCAAGCGTCAAGTATTGCCAATAGTAAAATTTGCTTAACTTTATTATTTCAAATATATCCTTTTTGTAACGTTTCCTGATTTGTTGTTGTCTTTGTAGTATGAAATGTAGATTGGGCAATGAATGGTGTGTCGCCTTGAGTGAACGACGACCTCTTATACAAGATGCACCTGAACATTGAACACAACATACTTTTCTGAAGTGTACCCCGACCCAAAATGTTCTGTACGCTAAAGGTGCGCGCTAAGTTCGTCCTGACGAGTCAAGCGCGACCTTCTGCCGAGGTCGCTAAGAGTTCGCTGTTGGTCGCCACCCGAGATCGCTTTTACGTCGCGTGAGTCCCACTACGCGACGTTTAGAGTTCACCTCGACGTACTTGACGTACCGAAAGCGATCCTGCTGCACCAGGTCGCTTTTAGGTC